TCGGTGATTCTCGCGATCGGGCAGTCACAGATTGCTGCTTCGTCACCGCTGGGCCTGTAAGAGGACAAAACAAACGAACAGACAAACAAACAAAGAAAACTAAAAAACAATAAAATTGTCTTTTGTACATCTACGAGCATAATGTCGTAGTGGTTGGAATAGTTCATCGATGCCCCCTTCGAGTAGTTGCTTGTTGGGGCAGGCTGCGGTGTTATCCGGAGTGCGCTGTTAGGCATGGGTGCCTCTGGGGCCTGGACCGGTTGGCGGTATCGGTCGAGGTTGGTAGCCTAGTATATGTGCCAGTTGTCGTTGTCCCGCATCTCCTAGGATGTGTAGCCGTCGTTTGGTAAGCGTGAAGTGGTTTAGGAGGAACCCAAACATGGCTCTTTTCTCCGGTGTCCTCTGGGGTGGCAGTCTTGATTTCTTTCGTGAGTTGAATTGGGAATGTCTTGGTCCTTGGTATTCGACTGGATATGTAGTAAGGTAGCTTAGGGCGACGGCTGAGTTTGCGGTTGTTGACTTCACAAGGGCTTGCAGTCATGGAAGTTGATTTAAAAGATTCTCTGCTGGCTGAGTAACGAGCAGGTTGAGGAGAAGGCGAAGGGTGATGGTGTCCTCTTCTCCGTAAATTTCCATGCATGCTTCGATGATGTCAAGGGTGGTGGTGGTGGTTGCACCCTCCGGGTTGGTTACTTGCTTGGTTATTGTTACAGGATGAGCGGCAGCTGTAGTTGTTACTGTGTCTGGTGGGAGGATCGGATTCTCACTCGTTGCCCCCTCCCTGTGGTATGGAGGTGGGGCCGTTGGGAGCGATGTCATCTCCTGGGGCGGGGTAGCTGGGTGGAGTCCTGCCGGTTCTTTTGTGGCTCTGCCCTTCTTTTCCAGGTCCTCCGGGCAGCTCATATTTTTTTTCAGTGCCATTTTCTGGTGGCGACGGAGGGTTTTGGCACGCTGCCATCTCCGCAGCAGCTTTGCTGACTGTAGCTAACTGGGTTTTTAAGTTTGCATTTTCAAGCAGTAGGAGTGACACTACGTTAATCATCTTCCCTTTGTCCCACTCGGAGTCTCTCCACTCCCTTCCGACTCCCTCCTCTCCTCTCAGCGAGAAGTAGCCGCTGACGCACCCTGTCTCCGCTCCGCTCGCTTGGTGATAAGCAATGTGGGCCCATAACTCATCCGCATTATCTACGGGGCGCCCCCCACTACACCAAGGGCAGTTCTTAATTAATTCCACCTTTATCACATTTTCCCTTGATCCTGTTCGTGACGCCATGTCGCTGCCGTGCACTGCAGAGAGGGGGTTGGGACCTTAGAAGCCGTCAGGCGGGTACTTGTGACGCTTGGAGTGGAATTAATTAGGCGGACGCTTATCGGTTGTAAAGCAAGATTATTTACTCACGCCGTCAAGGTGGTGAAAGACGGAGGTCAGAGATATTTGGTTAGTTATAGTTTAGAGTTCGTAGGTCGGTCTGCATAAGTGGTCGGATAGAAATGGTCGGGCAGAAAAATGGTCGGGCCGGCACGTCGTTGATTTACGTCTGAGATTGGGTCGAGACATGGGGCGGGGGGGAGCACTGGCAAGTGATCAAGTTGCCAGTTTACTCTGACACCTATGTCAGAGGTCTCCAGGTGTATACGGAGTCTCTCTCCCTACTTCACAGAAATGCAGCGGGGTTTTGTTTGTGTACTAGCCAATTGCTTTTCGTCACGTCATAAATTTAATTAGAATCGCCAATTATCTAGCGGTCTTCGCTAGGGTGTTATTTTAGGGCTACTCCCTGTTTTCTCTGACCAGTTATAATGATTTATGTAAAGCGCAGAAGGCTAAGTTTCATTTCTAGTTAGTGTCGCAGTTATAAATCTCTTTTTGACATGTGCAACAAAAAAAAACTTACTATCATCTTGTTAGTTAACCTAGTGTAGAATGAAAATGCTTTAACTGGTTTTACTTGCTTGTGACATGGGCACTATTATAATTGGGTTGTGACAATCTGGACTTGAGGCATCTCACAGAAAATGCCAGCTCTTAATTTTCACTCTTTCTGTAGTCAAAAAAAAAAATTAGAGTAATTCCTATGTTGTGAAGAACTTGAACCACAACAGGTCAGAGTGGTTTTGACACTGGATTCCTCTTTGAAGTCTTTGGGTGTACTTTGTGAATCATATGTAGGTGTTTGCACACCTAACTGTGCTAACATTGCATGGCCTGTGGAACCCTTGAAAGGATCTTGATCCAACCTGTGGTTCTGTGGCTCCCTGATTTGAGAATCGCTGGCCTGTAGGATGAAGCAAAATTACTTACTTCTTGTAGTAAGTAACTAACTAATAGAAGCTAAGGAGCCAACTCTGCTCACTTTTCTGCTCTCTGTGTATTGTGTGCAGAGTTGCTTTTACTTTTGTCCAACAGAAGCTTTATTGACCGAAACTGATGTTACGGTATTTCCTCATGTTTTATGATGCACGCTTCAATTTCCAGTAGATGTTTTTGGAGAAAAGGTGCATATTGTATGTGAGAAAATATGGCAAAGGTCTCCTGGGTCCCAGTTCACTGGACCATGCTGTCTGAGCTCCCTTCCCCTTCTTCCTCTTGCCTTTCAAAGTTATAACCCCCCTTTCTCTGCCTTTCAGGCTTTACTACCACCTTGAACTCCGAAGGACCCAGAGCCTGCCCATCCCACTGTCCTCTGCCTGCGGTGAGGCACTGCCTCAGTGGATGCGAAGCAACCTCTCGTTGACAGATGTTATGATGAAGTGGGAGGAGTACCAGCGCCAGCTCATGCTGGGTTTGCTCTGCATCAATGTGAACATGCAGGCCTCCATCTTCCCGCAGGAAGGGCTGAAGATGAGACCCCCAGTACCAGACTGTGTGCAAGAGAGCCTTCCACTCTTCTGAGTTCACTGCTGCCACCACGGGGTGGGGGGGAGGGAGCAGAGGGGTGGGCAGCATCGGTGATGCACCTGGCAACCTGCCACCTTGGGGCCATTATTGCCCTGCATAGGGGACTTCCTGTAAACAAGAAGACAGCAGTCAGTGGAATGAAACGTAGCTGATTTGCCCCTTGCTTTGCTAGGCAAGGGACATCCTGTTAGCATGATCACGTTGGCTCGTGATAACCACTTAAAGACACGTATCAACACCCAGCAACAGGGAGATGGCAGTGACTTTTGGCCGCACCATAGCAATTCTAGCTGGGCTTCCTTGGGAGACGTACCTGGAACTGCTGGGTCTTCTTTCAAGTAGTTTAGGGGACCTAGTTAGTGTTCTAGAATGTTTTTGTTTGCTTGTTTTAATTGTGTCTGATTTTAATTATTTAAAAACAATTTGATGTCCTTTGGCCCTTCACTGTGCTACCAAAAGGTAGAGCAGCCTGCAGTGCCAAACCAGCCATCAGGTTAGCCTTGAGCCTACCCCTCAGGTCTCCTTTATTTGGAGCCAAAGTTCTTTTTACCTCTGTCCATGTTCCTTATCCCCTCTTGAAGCCAACTCCAGTCTTGTTGCTATCAATACAGATTTCACTGGCACTGGAACTGGAGATTTGCAGGAGTCAACCTGACACCCATGGTTACTCCAGGCTTCCTTCATTTCTTCTCCTCTGTCTCTCTTGTTTCTGTCTCTCTTAAGGGGTCTATGTCAAGCCCGGCTTTTGGAGGCCTGGCATCTATAGTGCTAACACTAGCTAGGATGCTTCCCTTCCCTCTCCCCCTCCTTCTCCCTGTCCCCAAGAAGTTGGATAACAACTTCAGAGTTTGTTTTTTCAAAGTCATTTTGTGGGATTTAGATGCCCAGTTTCCACTAATTTGAATTGAAATAATTTTGAAAAATTCCCACCTTGTTTCCCAGTATGGGCTCAACAGATGCCATGGGGGGGAAGAGGGAAAGACCCAGCACTCTTTCCTGCTTATGCAGGAGGTCAGACTCGATGATCTATTGAGGTCTCTTCCAACCCTAACATCTATGAATCTATGATATGAAGGGCTTGTAAGATGGCAGAAAGCGAGATTGCATTGTGCATGTTTCCAGATGGTTTGTAGTGGGATGGTGCAGCAGGTTCCCAGCAGATGGGTATCTGAGTTGAAAGAGGGCCAGGTTCAAGTTTCAGCTCCAAGGGACCGTGGAGTTGGGTAACTTTGAAACCAAACTTAGCACTGGTGCAACAGAACGGAACTTGACTGAAGTCAGTGTCCACGCTGGTGATGAACATGGACCGTAGCAGTGAGGTAGACGGCACTCCACCTTTTACAGGTGGGACCTGCTTGCTTCACATGTTGACTGATGATGGTGGTGTCAAGATGGATAGCCAGGAAGAACGAGCAGGAGGAATGAGGAAGCCGTGGAGCGAAACAAGAAGTGCCTTCATACAGCCTACTGCCTATTTTGTTACTTAAGACAAATCGGTGGGATTATACTGGGGCTGAACTCTGCTGACTGTTTCACTTGCCTTTTCATTGGTGCTGCCTTGAAATGTCCATCCCAAGGGAAACCGTTAACCTTATGCTGCTTGTGTGCTTACAGCTAAGCTATTTGGAACATTCTCCCTGAGAAGATGCCTGTCTAGTTTCATCATTGACTAGCTTTGTAAATGCAAAATGGCCTCATTTTTTTCCCCCTAGGGCTGAGGGATGACTTCTGCTGGGAACTGCACATACCACAAGCCAAAAGCCCTCATCTTCTGACTGTCTGTGATGCACAGACCTTTCAGATGGTTTTATCTTCACGATGCATCTGGCTGTGCACGGCTGTTTTCTACCTGTCCTAGCACAAATAATCTTCAGCAGGCCAAAGCAAATGCATACGTTCTTTGAAAGGGAACAGAATGGGGAGATCTCAAGTTTTATATTTAAATATACCCAGAATCGTGACTTGTAAAAGGTCCTCGAATGTCACTGTATATAACTCTGGTGCCAGGAGCTACGTAAATAACTGAGAGCTTGGAGAAGGAGAGGAAATAATCCAACAGATCACATGTGTTCTGGTCACATTGAGAAATGGTAGTTTACTTTCAAAAGGTGAAGGGCTTTGTTTTTTGTGGTTGTTTTTTTTTTTTTTTTAGTAGCAGTGTCCTCTACCTACACTTGAGGTGGGTGTGAGAGTTTGATTCAAATGAAGAGCATTCCTAGGAATGACCTACATTCCTACAATTTCTGGCAGGAAATGGTTAGGTGCTTAACTGCTTGTCACAGAATTCATTCTGTAGTAACCAGATGACTGTGGGGAGCCTTGACACTAAGGGCCTGGTGGTGGTTGATCTATCTGTTCCCACAGGGGTTTGGTATGGAAACAAGCTTATGTGACTTGGAACGTAATTTTGCCAGTCTTGAATTTGACACTATGTACAGGACAGAAGTGCCTGGAGAATTGATTAAATGAACTTGGTGTTTCTCTTCACCATAGTCTAATTTAGCCTTTCTTTAATGTCACATTGTTAAGGCAGTGGAAATAGGAGTCAGAGGTGCTTGCTGCCTGTCTATAGCCATATGCTGAGTGCATCGGTAGTGCACCAAAAGGGAAGAAGATTCTTTCACTGCCCTAGAGTCGTGGAAAATTAGGGTTGAAGGGACTTCAGGAGGTCACCTAGTCCAGTGCCCTGCTCAAAGCAGGACCATCCCCAACTACATCATCCCAGCCAAGGCTTTGTTTAACCTGGTTTTAAAAACTCCATGGATAGAGATCCCACAATCCCTGGGTAATCTGTTCCAGTGCTTCACTACCCTCCTTCTTTCCCCACAAGAGAGGCCACATCGGCATAACCTCAGTGAGATGTCCCTTCCATAAAATGCTTGCCTTGCCATGGGTTACACTCTTATCTGGGAATAGCTAATCCTTGCCTGCCTGCCTGCCTGCCTGCCCGCCTGCCTGCCTGCCCACTCTCTCTTTCCCCCTCCCCCACCCCACCCACCCCCCAAAAAAAAGGAAAAAAAGCTTCAGCAGAATGCTTATTAATTGGGAGGTGGGGAAGGAAAGGGAATTGCCCTTATATACATTTGGTTTGGGATCAAGGGTAGAAGAGGGCAAATTTCTTTCTGGAGGAGGTTGTGTGTGGGAGCCCCATGCCCTTGGGTCTGCCTGAATTGTGTAAACATATTTATGGAGAGGGTGAGGCAGTCTTTTTTTCCACTTGTGTCTTATCCCTTCTGCTGCTCTGGTAAAGCACTAACATATTAAATGAATCTTCCAGCAGCAGAACTTTGAGTGGAAATTCTTCTTTCAAGCAAAGTCTTACTAAGCAGCCACACTATGGCAGGCATGAGGACCCTGGGTTTCCTTCAGCTTTCTTCTGCTAGGATTGCAGAATGGTGTGATATAGAGGTACTCTAGTCCCTGGGGTGAGCCATATGGTTTGAGAGATCCAGGAAGTTGGCAAGTTCCTGTTCATGCATTTCCAAGTACCTGATTTCTGGAGTCAATAGAAGCCATGACTTGGAACCTACACTTAGCTTTCATCCCCATTTCTGGCAACCACTCCAAACTTCCGATGAATGAATCCAGCTACTAGAAAAGACGCTTTTGCATCTTTTGGATTATGCACCAAGAAACCAAAGTCCAGTTTTAAACTGGGTCTTGACAGAAAAGCCAATTCTTCAGGGTCGAACAAATGTGACCATACATAACACAATTTGTGACACAGTGGATTAACTCCTTCCCTGCCTTCAAGAATGTACGACATGGCATCCCCTTAGCTTTCAGACTCTGGAAAATGTGTGGCACAGAGGATGTTGCAGATCAATTTATAGATTTTGAGTCACCTTTTGCTGGGGTCATGATCTGGTTGGGAGTATTTTTTTCAAAGCTAAAATACCCCAAATTCCTTTTTGTTTAAAAAAAAAAAAAAAATAGGAGTTATGTAGCTTAAGTTCACCCATGGTCATTTATAGCTTCTCTTCAAAGTAGTTTATGAACATTGTATTTCTAGCCAACACGCAATAGAACAAAAGCTGTAGTCCTGTAAAATAATGCCTTTCAGATGGATGTTATGCAGCATTGCACATGTCCGAACTCCAGAAGTCTATCAAAATGCTTTACTGGCTTTAAAGGACTATGAATTGAGCCTTCAGTGATTTTTATGGGGCATAGTTGACTTATGATTATAGTGGCATTCCCCACCTAACCTGCTTGACAACTACATGGTAAATGATAAATCTGTTGAGCAGCAGCTGATTAAATGATATAGTTGTATAAGCCTAATATTATACCACCTGCCAACTGAACCTGAATTTGACGTGGGGGGCTTCCAAATTGAGGTTGGTTATGGGACAGAAATTCCTTCTGCAATGATGCACACAAGTGAGGCAGCCTACAGAATAACCAGCTACACGCACGGCTGCTCATCAGTGTATGGAGCTTTTGGAAAGCTCATATCCTAGGACCAAAAGATCTTTTATAACTTTCTAAAAATATTTTAATTTGCCTTGTGACTAGTCGGTGTAGATGATGTGTGTGCTGGTAGGCAGACAAAAAAGCAGCTGGCTAGAGCTCTCTCTCTCTAAATGCCCTCTCTGGCCTTGAGGGTCTTGCTTCACATGCATAATATCTTATTTTTCAGAGGTACTGAGCTTCAGCATCTCCCAATGAAGTCCCTAATAACTGCCAGTGCTGGGCAGTTCTGCAAACTAAGCCTTAGGCAGGAACCCAAAATCAGAAGCACGCAAACCAAGACACCTCTCTGAAAACATGGTTTGAGAGAAACCAACAAAATAGGTGTTTGCACAGTGGCTTGAAGCCAGTCTGTGGTTGCATTGGTGTTTGGGTGCGATTCTCTCTTATCTGCTAGTAACAGTGTGTAGAATTAGTGGTGAAAGAGAGAAAAATCCTTCCAATATGAACCAGTCACCTGGGGACCAGCACAAGGTTACTTCCCACAACAACTTCCTGGTGCTTTGTTTAAAGTAATTTTGAGACATCTCAAACCATGCAATTTCTGCTGCTTTCAAGCCCAGATCATCTGTATTTTGGAGCTCCTGTTTATTTCTACAATGCAAATACCACTTGCTGCTTTTAATGAGGCATATAGCAGTGTGTGTGTGTCAATTAATTTATGCAATGGTGTATAGTGGTTTTGTGTCATATGATGCTATGTGCACTCTGCTATATTTCACATGTGCCTTTTTTCCCTTGGGCTTCAGTCTATTTCCTGCCCCTATCCAGTCTCCCTGGGGTATCTGCTTTGCTAAATTCAGCAGCAGTTGTTTGTTAGCCATTATGGCATCTATAAAAGGAATATAGCTCTAGCTAACCCATCTGCTGCCACTCATGTGCAGCTCCATTAGGGCAAGTGTCTGACCCACTGGCACTCTGAAGTGCTACAAACCAGTTTCTGATACAGTGCAGGAAAACCAAGATGCCAAATAGAGGTGTAGAAGAGTAGTCCTAAGATGACTCTTTTGTTTCAGAATTTTCTCTGAGCTGAGGAAAATTAGTACTGAATAAAAAAGAACTCTGTATGTTAAATCCTTCTGAGAGCTGTGCCAATGTGAGTTTTAGGAGAGAAAATCTTTTTTGCAGGGAGCATGCAGAACAAATGTAAAGAGCTGTAGGAGTTTGCTGAAGTCACAGCACCAATTAGACCAATGACAATATATGCAATTGCTTTATTTACACATCAAGGTCATTTATGTAGCACTTGAATATTCACTTGAAAGTTCAGCATTAAATTTTTGATGCACTTGTGCACATGTTCCCTCCCTCTCTCTCTCTCTCATTTTGCTGAAGGAAGTATAACTATTTATTTTGACAGAAATGCACTTCTAATAAAATCTTCCTACGTTTAGTTAACAGATTGTATGACTCATTTGTGTTCCTTTAAAGGTTTATTAAATGCACTCCAGTCTACAGCTCAAATCTGAAAATTCATGTAGTTCAGGTTGATGATAGCTACTTGTCTTTGTTGTAGAGGGTGTATAGACCAGGGATTTCTAGTCCAGCTTCTGCTGACTTGGGCTGTATTTCTTTTTTGGTTGTCTCAATATTGTGGCCCCCAGGTGGGGACAAGTGACATCTAGAACTCAAAAATGCTGAGGACCCCTGAATAGAAGATGTGGATACTCCACATTTCTGGAAAACTGGCTCTTGTGGCAACTCGTATTGTGTACTTGGACAGAGACATCCCAAATTCCAGGTCAGTCCTGGACAAATTTGGCTAGGGATGTGCTTACAGTTTCTTGGTGTTTATAAAATGGGGTGATGACACATTCAACTTTCGTGGGCTTTTTTATCAAGACAAATGGAAAGGTTTGGAGTATTGCTGCATATCCTACACAAACAGAATGGTTTTCACTTGGTATACTGTAATTAGCAAAGAGCAGCCATCTCTAACAGACCAGAGCTTGCTCCTAATATCTAAGCCTGTATCTGCTCACTTTAATTATTGACTTGAGAGGGCCCATCTAGCTAATTTACCAGGATACTAATGACTGAAGAGACTACTGCCAAACCAGTTTAAGAGTTACTTGTGATCTGGGCTTCCTTTTTATGTGAACAATAAGTGGGGGAAAAAAGACTGAAGGGAGATGAGAAGGATTGGTAAGATGGTGTTTTTTTAGGATGCAGCCCAAACTCAAAACTGAGAACAGCAGTTTCCCAAACTCTGACAGACTGAGCAGCACCGACTTGAAATGATACAGCCTTGAGTACCACCAGCAAATTTTTCATACACATAGGTAACCGAGTATGTATTAAAACATCATCAAAACATTCAGTAATCATAAAACATTGTTTTATCAGTTATGGTAGCCATATAAAACAATTGTAAATTAGAAAAAAGACAGCATAAACCAGGGGTTGGCAACATCTTGCCTGCAGTACCAAAAAGACCGCAATGTATACATTGTAAGGAGCTGGAGTGCAGGCACACCAGAAGAACAAAACAAGGGCAGAGGGTACATGGCAGGACAAAATTAATATTAATATAATTAATAATCATAAATGTTGCTTATTTATTTTTTACAGTAAATACCAGGTTTTCTAAAAATTCAAAACCTGGTGACAACAAATAAAACTTCATTTACTACCTTTGTTCTTGTATATTCTTTTTTTTTTTTTTTTTTTTTTAAGCAGTTTTGCTTGTGATGAGAGGGGGAGAGGGAGAGCAGGCGTGGGGGGAGACGTTGCGGACAGGCTGGCCAAGCTGGGCCCTTGGGAAGGTGGTAGCCAGAGGAGAGAGTGGGTAGTGGGGGCTGCCCCGAGGCTCTGCAGACTTGGGCCACGGTGGGGGTGCTCAGCGGCAGCGGAGGTGGGGCCTGGCTTCGGTCACACAGCTCCACAGGGGTGGGGCGCAGTCACCCTGTCCATAGGGGAACGCCGCCTGGCTGGGGCAGGACGCCAGGCTCGGGGCGGGGGGGCTCCTGGCTTGGCCTGTGCATATGGGGCACAGTACAAGCAGGGTGAAGCCCCTGGGCTGCAGCAGGGACTCCCTGGGCAGGGCACAATTTGCTTGCTGCCTCTGGGCAGGCAGAGGCACTTGATTAGTGTGTGGTGTACACGCATGGTGTCCCGTGCAGCTTGGTGGGGGGGGCCTGTGCGCACTCTCGGATAGACACAGGGGGGGCACCCCTGGATCCAGATGCAGCTGGGCTGCATGCTGGGCTCTGCATCATGCTGCTGCCACTGCCTACAGACCTGTGTGGGATGCCATGTGTACACTGCACACTGGCCAAGTGCTTCCGCCTGCCTGGTCCAGAGGCAGTGCCCATGTGGTGCAGAGCCCAGCACGCAGCCCGCTTCCGGCCACACACATCTGGGGGGGGGCACGTGCCCCCCATACCTGCCCTGGGGTGTGCACAGCTGGGGGAGCCCCCCACATCCCTGGAAATGCCTAGGTTGCTTTTGTGCTGGCCCTGCCATGGGGACAGGGCGAGCTGGCCCAAGGGAAGAAAACTCCCAGGGAGCAGTGGGCTGCTGCTGCTGCGCTCTGCACCATGCTATGGCTGCCTACATGGGATGCCATGTGCCTGCTGCTGCTAGGCAGGCAGAGGACTCAACACAGCCAGTGCGCAGCAGGCACATGGCATCATGCGAGGCTCCCGGGCCAGTGGCAGCGTGGTGCAGAGTTCAGCATGCAGCAACAGCCCACCTCTACCCCATGCACAGATCCGAGGGGCATGTGCCTCCCAGTCCTGCCCTGAGGTGCACGCAATGGCAGAGAGCCACACCTCCCCCAGTACCCCTGGATGAGCTGCCCAGGCTCTGATCATCCCATCACCTGCCCTGGGGCCCCATTCAACCCAGCCCCTGCCTCTGCCCCGCTACCTCCTTCACCATGGGATCCTTGATCTGCCCCCCCTCTTGCCCCCAACACACTTGGTGCTGTGTTCCCGGCTGTGTGCAGCAGGCTGCTGCTGGGCTTTGAGTGTGTGCGGCCCCTTCCCCCCAACCTTCCACGTACCACTTCCAAGTTGTCTGCGTACCACTGGTGGTACGCATACCACAGTTTGGGAACCGCTGATCTAGACGGTACATTGGAGACCTCTAGATCCCATTTCCAGCAGCAGGCCCCATTTAGCCATGTTGTTCCTTTAGTATTGGTCATGTTTGTCGGGGTCGGTAACCTAAAAAGGGCAGTGACAATGGTGCACCGGCCCCAGGTGCCCTTGAATGGGGAGGTTAAATCAACATACTGCTGGCCAAATTTGCCCCAGTGGGCAAGCCTTAGCATTAGTCATGCAGACTTCATCTTATCCCCATGCTCAGTGGCTTGCAGTCCTAGAGCTTCTAGGAGATGCAGGAAAGCATTCACTCTCACCTTCCCCAACAGGTAGCAGGGAGACTGGCATGCTCCACCCTGGCTGAACTGGGCTCACTCCTTGAGCCTGGGCCTTCTTCCAGGAGCTAGGCTTACCCCTACTCGGCTCTTCTCTGCCCAGAGGTTTTCACAGGCCCCAATCCTGATGTAGATAACGGGCTCCCTGTCTCCCATCCCCTTTCCTACACAGGACTACCCTAGAAAACTTGGTGTGCCCTGTTCTGCCCACTGGGCAGAGAAGAGGCTGGGCAGGAGTGGGCTCAGCCCCTGAGGGAGCGTCAGGTGAACTGTGCCAGGTTGCCCTGCTGCCTGCATGGGGGGTGAGGGTTGAATGAGCCCCACATCCTGCTGGTAGCTCTGGGTGCAGGGAGAGGACAGAGTTGGCTAGGGCACCCAGACACAATTCTAAACTGAAACAGCTGCAGAGGAGGGCTGCTAGAGGACTAGAGAGCATCCCTTATCAGAACAGACTGTTGCTAGAAACAGATGTCTATATTGGAGTGCCTCAGTTAGGTTCCCAGCCTCAGCCAAAAATCAACTGATTGTCAGACATTTGGCTTTCAATTTGCTGGTGCGAGAGGAGCCTGCAATCATGACTCTTAGCTTCCTCCTGTCCTAGAAAGTAGGGGATGATTGGGATCTAATCCCCAAATTGTGTGTTCTGCCATGCACATGTAGCATGGCAGGAGGTGCAATTGTTGGGAACATGGATCAGATCCCATCATGCCTTTAAATGAATATCTGCCAGTAGCCTGTGGATGAGATGTAGTGTAACTGGAGCTCTTCAAGCTCAGTGGTACAGTAGAGGTAGACTTACCTTGACAATTAGTCCTTTGGAGTCCAACATCCAAATTCTTTTGATAGCTTTTTCTCAGGAAAGCTATTCCTTTTCCATGGCTACAATGATGAAATGAGTTATGCCCACAGCAGCCTGAAATACAGGCATAAAAGGAAACTATTTCCTCAGAGCAGCCTTCAACACTCGGGGGCAGATATTAAAAATTTGCTACTTCCTCCAGGTCCCATTCTCAAAAAAGCAGAGTGAATATAAGCTCTTTGGGGGCAGAAGACTAGCTGTTTCCTAGCTAGCGCTTAGCATAATGGGGCCCCGGTCCATAACTGCAATTCCTAAGGTGCTCCCACAATACAAGTAGTAAGTGTCCAGCTGAGCAGGCTGCACTGCACCATTAGGATGGGAAGACAATCTGTCAAGGAGGAGGGGGTGATTGTCTGCATCCAAAGCAGTGGACTGGTCAAAGGGATTGAAGATGGGGTACACATGCTAGGGTATTTCTAAGAGGCTACCCAAACCTTCATACTTGCTATGTCAGTGGAGGAGAGGCAAGTGGAAACCAGACTTGGGGGGAATCCAGGATGAAGCCAGCAGAGAGGAACTCAGGACAGTAGCTGTAAATGTTGTATTTGAACTAGGGCTGACAAGGAATTAAAAAAATAATCGCAATGAACCATGAGATTAAAAAAAATAGTTGCAATTAATCACAATTTTAATTGTGCAGCTAAACAATAATCAGCATCCTACCCCCTCCCACCCAACAGCCTGAAGCCCATGCACCCTGTGGCTCCTCCCCACCACAACCAACAGCACACAGTCCCATCCCTGACCCTGGCCTACCTTTGCCTGCTCCAGACTCACCTGCCCATGCTGAGCAGCAGCAGCGGCCAGGTAGAAGCTATTGCTCAGTTTGGAGGAAAAGTGGCCCCTCCCCCTCACCGCTGCCAGGCCTTCCTTACTGCAGCTGCCTAGAGCCCGCACCTGGGCTGCCCTGTGGCTCCTCTGCACTGCCACAGGTGGCAGTGCCAGCACTGGAGCAGAGCTGCAAGGCAGCTTGGTCACAGGCTCTGGGTAGCTGCAGCAAGAAAGGCCCAAGAGTGGTGAGGAGGATGGGTCGCTTTTCCCCTATGCCAAATAGCACCTTCTGCCCTGCTGCTGCTGCTGCTGCTCAGAGTGGGCGGGTGAGTCTGGAGCAGGGGCGGGGCAGGCCGGGGTCAGGGCTGTGTGTACAGGTTCTGGCTGATCCAGAGCTGGTCCACTCCACTGGTCAAAATGGTGTGTGAGATTAATGCAATTAAAAAAAAAACATAATGTGTTTTTGCATTAATCGCATACGTTAACTCCGCTTAACTGACAACCCTAATTGGAACCATTGAGTGGTACTGAATCACTTCATTTTTCCACTGCTGCATGACCAAACAAACAGCCCCGGGCATCCTATGTGCTGCCGGTTTTGTTATAGTTGCACCTACAGGCTCCAACCAGGAGGAGAACTGAATAGCCCTGCATAGGCACCTAGGAAGGGGCAATCCCTGTTCTGAAGAGAGCACAACCTGAATGCACAGGTGCAAAGTTTTGGAGACAGGAAATTCTGCCATCTCCATTTTGTGGATGGGCAACCAAGAGGCTAAGCACCTTGCCCAGTCACACACAGAGTCTTTTTCTGTAATCAAATTATTCCAACAAAGGAATGGCAGGTGGGAGAAATGGGAGAGTACCCAGGTGGCCAGAGTGGGGCAGGAACTGCACGGCTACTGTGGGCATCATGGACACCCCTTGGGCCTTGGTCCTGTTACATGGTGGTGGTAGCTTTGCAGGAGTGGGATGGGTGAGTGGTGGTTGCAGCTTTGGCTTTGGCTTTGGGAGGGCATGCCAGGTTGCAAGTGGCCCGAGCTCAGAGCTAAGCTCCATTAATGTAGCCCTCTGTTGCAAAACTTCACCAACCCTTGCTCTAGGAGATGGTTCCATCTGTTCCCTCTTTGATTTTGTTTCTACTTCAATTGGAAGAGAAAATAATGAATCTCAAAACAAAACACAAGCTGACCCCTACCTCCCAGGCTCCTTGGAAAACAAATTTGTGGTCAAAGAGCTCCATGATTCTTAAAGCTGTGAAGGTGCCAGCTACTAAAAAAGAGGCAATGAATAAACACAGACCACATGAACAGGGAGCATAATGAATGCATTGGCAAAAAGACAAAGTGCCATTCATCCCACACAGCAGCTGGTTGTGGAGAACCTTATGGAAACCTTCCCTCCCAGGTACTACACATCCCTATCACTACACAAGCAGAGAAACCCACAGTCTTTTCTGTTTAGCCTCATAGCACTTCTGCAAGGGAGGAAAGTGCTCTTGTCCCCAGATGACAGATGG